CTAAGTGCATGTTTCTATTTTTGGTAAATTTATCAGCTAGTTTTTGCAATTCCATTATTTTCGTACCTATATATTGGATTGCTCCGACTCTGAATTTTTAAAACTACATCCAACAATATACAAATAGGTAAGTTTGTGCAGTTATATAATTAATGGCTCGACCAATCGACGTTTTAATGATGACAAATTATCCTATGGGTTTAAAATAGGATTCGAATCACACTAGAGACTTCCGCGGTTCGTTTTGAACCTGGCTACTGTATATATTTTAAATAACAAAAATATCTGATTAGGTATCTGTTTAAGATCTTCTCTAAATATCAAAACAAAAAAACATATCATTGTAGAAAGGGAAATTGGCAAGTATAATCAAGAAAAAAATGAAAACATAATTACTAAGCAAATCTCCTTATGTGGCATTAATCCTAGCCATTAGTTTTAGGGTTTTTGGTTAATTATTATGTTTAAATTTTTTTTTTGGTTATTAACCAAATTGACCCTTATAGAAATGATATTTCCTTTTTTTTTTGCTGTATTTCAGATGCCTTTTCCTTTACTAAAAAGTTAAGTAAAATATCCACTATAATATATTTTTGACATGTCTCTAGAAACAACATTCCACAACTGGCTTATAAATACCCTTAAAACCCACAAGGCTACACAACTCATAATCACAAGAAAGAGAAGAATAAAACCTCATAACATTCTATTGACTAAATTCTTCAAAGTACAAAAAAGGAGAAATGGAGTCAATGAAGATGAAGCTTATGGTGGTGCTCATGGTGGCTATTGTGGCTTTCTCCGCCGTAGGAAAGGCGGCTGCGGCAGAGGCTCCGGCTCCAAGTCCTACTTCTGATGCTGCTATGTTCGTCCCGGCATTCTTTGCATCTGTTGCTGCTTTGGCCTCTGGGTTTCTCCTCTAAACCAATCTCTACCTTTCATAGAGTTAGGTTTCCTTTAAATTGTTTTGCCTTTTACTTCGGCTATTGTTATTGTTTCTAATATTTTGGACTACTATATTATCATTTTTAATTTAACCTTTTGGAGTTTTTATGTTATTGCATGAGTGTTTTTGTGTGTATATGTTTCGTTATTAATACTATATATATGTTTATGGATTCATTAATTTGGTGAGAAAACATCACATGCAAGTTATCTAAAGTCCGAGGCAAATGATGTTAATTAGCCTCACATCTTCGAGTGGTGTGATCAATGATCCGACGGAGCATGAGCTGTGAAATTTTGGAAGGTTCTGGGATTCTTCAAATATGTGTTGTT